GAAGTTGTCAATTCGATATAATAAAAAAACTTAGACAGGACATTATCAGATGAATACGGTCCTTGGTCAACAATATTCACTGATTTTTTTTCCAAAACACAATCACAAAGTTCGAATTGTTGAAATAGTTCGATTACTTAAATATAAGCACATAAAAAATTAGTCGAAGAGTTCGTCCATACGAGAAACTATTTGTATAGTTCGAACTTCTAGACCTGTTGTAAATTTGTGTTCGGTTTACGTCTTTTAAATTTAAATTCAAAAAACTTGTAAAAACAAATAGTAGAATTATCACAAACACTTTCTCAGAATTTCATCAGTTTCATTAAATTAACTTATGCGATGCTTTCCTCGGGAAGTTGTACTAGAGTGAAACAAGGATCTCGGTGTACTCTCCGCCATTTTGTATACCATACCTGATGTAAATGCTTGAAAAATATCCAAATCTGGCGGTTTCAAGCCATGTGCTTAATTCTGGGAAAGTGAAAGTTATAGGCTAGTTATAGGCTTTTATCGTACTACACTTGATTGTGGAATACTTTTAGACTTCAGTAGAGTTACATGTTTTACTTTATGAATTCTGTGGTTTGTTTTAAAGCTAAAGATGAACCATTTCACAAGATAGATATTGGAAGATAAAATAAGAGTTTGAATGTTTGTATTATTTGAAAAAGACTACGTTGATGAACAACGTAGAATTCTGTTAAAAATTGAGATATTGGAGATATTGGAAGTTAAGAGAAAAGCTTGACTGTTTGTAATACTTGAAGAAGATGAATAACGTCGAATTCTGTTAAAAATGGTTGTTTTTTTTTGGTTATGCTACGGACTTATTAGCTGATGTGTTATTTTTTCCTTTAGACGAAGTGTAAGCTTAAATGGAGGTCAATGACAGAGTATAGATACAATGCCTATGGCTCACTTGCATTGATTTGGGAGTCCTGCGTTAAGATTTCCCCTCTCTTAGTGATTATGTTGTTTTTAGAAAGTTTTTAAGATAAATGTGTTCCGAATTAGTGAACGTCATCAGAAACATTCGAACTTCATTTTTAAATTCCAACTCTAAATAGGTGTTAACTTATACTACACGTAACATGTTTTCTTTCATGGAAAGGATTATTTCAAGTTAAAGAATCTCACAAATGTGAACTCTTTTCGCTTCTTATTTCTTCATAAAAATTTTATTCTGTTCTTAAAACTTATTTTTGGTTAGAGTCGAGCCATTTAATATGTTTTCAAAAACCGTAGTAGTAAATTGAATGGAAAACAATTTATTAAACTTAAAAATGAGTACTAACTCAAATGAGCTGTAGAAATTTTAACAGCATCTCATCACTGGTTGTTTCGAAATTTCCAAAGCAACTGAAATATCTTCACACCTCCACTACTCGTCAGAGTCAAGGAGGCAAGAAAGCATTGTGCATATCATCCACGAATAATTAATCATTTTGGTGCGTTTTTAAATTGAAACCGCAAGTTTAACATGAAAATGAATATGAAAAATAATATTTTCCTGAAGCTTTCGAAATATTTCGATTTAAAAAATATATGCCAAAAAAAATCATAGAAACTAAGACAAAAGTTCAGTTGGAGAATGTAAGTGGCCAAAAATCATAATGTAGCTTTAAAATGCTCGAATGTGGTTTGCTTTCTTACTTTTCTGTTTATTTTCGGAAAATATTAAAAATAAAAACCAGATAAGCATAAATAATACAGAGAGCAGAATCTAAGTGAAAAACACCTACAAAATAAATACAAGAAAAATATAAACAGTAACAACAACAACAACAACAGTAACAAAAAAAAAGGAAAGAGAAAAGAAAAAATTGAAAGAAAAATTCTATAAGGAAACGGAAGTAAATATAAATGGAAAATCCATTTCCGCTACTTTTCAGTTTCAGTGAAAAGCTTAAGGCGTGGTTGTTACTCAAATTTTAACTCCTTACAGCTTACACAACATCAGCGGAGGCAACGGCAACTTTAGCAGCGGCAGCCTCAGAAAGTACAAGGAGTAAGGATTGGGAGTAGGAGTAAGGATAGTGAGTAAAGGCGCCAACAGTCGGTGTTACAGTAGCTGATTTTGTTCATATTTTTTTTTTAATTTTTTCAGCTCGGTTTCTTTGGTAAGCGTCAAAACTCAAATATAATATCCTTGTATCTCTTAACCGTTTGTTTTTTACTCTTTTAAGTTGGTTTTAGGTAAAATTTCGTTTAAAAGAAAATTAATTACCTTTAGCAAGTTTGTTTGTTTGTTGTTGCTCTGGTGTTTGAGTTGGTTAGTCGCTTTGTTTGCAAGCCATACCAACAGAATGCAGAGAATGGCGGTATCGTTGGTCGCAGTTCCATAAAAAACTATTTTCTTAATTGAAGAAAAAAGACGAGTAGGTAGGCAAGTAAAACGTAGTTGTCATTGCCATTGAATTGAGAGAAAAGTTTCATCCTTAAATAATTTTAATTTCTGCGAAGTTTTATCAGTGAATTTATATATGTCCGACACGATTAATTCATATATATCTTTTAATTTCTTAGAATTTATATAAGAAATTCAAAAATAATACTTGTTTCCTTATAAATAATGTTATTTAAATGGTTTTTACATTGTAACTGAGGAAAAGAGATTTCCTTAACTTTTAAACTTCTTTTATAATATTTATTTATTTACATATGTAAATTTAAACTCATCTAAATATTATCAACTTCTTCAAAAATGAATGTACGGCCCATTCAGAGAGTCTTCCCTGATGCAAACTTTTTAGCTAGACAGAGCTATATCAAGTGAGTACGGTGTTTGGTCAATAATATTCGTTAAATTTTTGTCCTGAAACTTCTTTCATAATTAAACAATTCGAATTTTTCAAATGGTTCGAATATTCAAATATAAGAGAACAATGGGGTAGTAGCATCATATACAATACGAGTATAAAGAAAAATATTATAAAGAAAATAAGTAATCTCTGAATGAACCGAAGTTTATTTATATCTTTCACCTATATTTATTAAGAATTCCTTATCAGGCGCTACATATAGATAATGGCTTAGCCAGAATTGTCTCAAGACCAGAATATATCTTCAGAAAATGTTTATTTTTCTGTTACGGACTCCAATAAACCAAATTTTTGTATTAGGTATATATTATATTGACAAGGGGGATGGAGATTTTATTACCTAATCTTTTCCCCGTACTTTACCCCATACCTGTATACATATATGACATTATCAATTAATCATATTGTTCTGAGTATGGTTGGTTTGGTAGTAGTGACGGTAGAGCTTCCTCTTATGAACAAGTAGAACATGGGTGCAGTTTTTTTAAACATATTTATGAATATACGACTCTAAATTTAAATCTAGTTAATATTGGAGACCATTATTTATAAAATCAATAATTGTGGTAATCTTAGTAAGTCAAAAATTTTTTTAATGGAGCCATTATAAACTTTACTGTTATATATAGGAAGTATTCAGTTAATTTTTTATCGTCTTCTTCCCTGTAGATGAGATATCTAATTTATGGCAAGAATGGTTACTAGTTAACCAGTCTTTTGCTATATCTTTTTCTATTTATATACATATATATAAACCTAGTTTGTCTACTAGCATGTTCTTATTTTAAGAATGTTTTTGATTACTGAGAAAGACACCAGTTGTGCACTGGTGTCTTACTGAACTTTATTAAGTTCTGCATTTTTTTTATAGAAATCCTTTCTGTAGTATGGAAAGAATTGCAATATTGTTTTCGTCGATTTTTTTCTGATATTAATTAATTGAAAGGCATTGAATGAGTTCGCATGGCAAAGGGTCTCTCCTTTCTTTTTGAACTGAGAAGATTCCATACTTCAACTTTGAAGTAACATATTCGTGATATGATAATTCTGTATACTATTTTGATGGAATGATTGTATGAAAATATTTCTGGAACTCATTGTAGTTACATAAATAGTCGGTGTTTACTGTTACGTTACGTGGTAGGGAAGCCAGAAATGAAAGCCAGACTGTATATAATTTAATGAAAACAGTGGTGAATGATATCGTAAATGTTTATAAATATTTAATTATGCAGTATATTCATTCAAGCAATGTTAGATGCTACCTTACCGAAGTTATACACTTTAACTGTATTTTATTGTATCTATGTTACATACTATATATGAATCTATGCGGTTACATACAGTACATGTTATGTAAAGCTCCATAATACGTGTATCACATGAATAAAAATTCAATAAATCCATAAATCGTTTTATAGAATATAAAGCTTTCATTCATATTTTTTACAAAATGGATGAAATTTACCTTTAAAGGATATTTTCTTTGCATTCAAGTAAGAAGAGTAAGGAGCTTTAAATGTGGCGCACTTACTGACCAGGAAGAAAAAATTGACTTAATTCAATACTCACTTTGTATCGAAAAGGAAAGCAATAACGAGTAAATAACAAAGCTGGCTAGAATTTTATATGAATCAACTGAGCCGCAAAATGTAATACTCGGGGCATACAATTGCTATGCAGTAAAATCATATCCTTTTCCTGCAAGTTTTTATTTCCATTTTCATTTTGATTTTTTTTCTGATTAGTTTTTCTTTTCGACTTTTGAAATATTTCACATTTATTTTTTTCGTACATATTTCACACACAACAGAATTTGTGCCTTTGTTCAAGAAATATTTTAAAGGGTTTTTTACCTAAGCTGCTCTGTATCATATGCCAGTGCTCGCTACTATGGTTTGGTTAGAACGTCTTGACCTTCCGTTTCCGTTACGGACGAACGCACAGTGGTGCTGTGGAAGTGAACAGCTGCAGTCCAGATACAAAGGCATTCTGTACTATATAGAAATGATAAAAGAAAGTAAAACAAAGTTGCAGCGCACAAATGGCAAAGGACAAAAGTAGCATCGTAAGCTATTTTTAAATAAATGCAAAAGGATTTTTATTGGAATTTTTGCCTCTCTGTCTTTTTTAAATGTTCTTCATTTTTATGCTTTTATACATATTTGTGGTGAGTTGCAGGTGCAAAAATTGCTGGTGGACAGTGCATTTTAAAATTTGCGGCAGCCAGAGTTTTCTACAAATCTTAAGTCCATACTGTAGATAAAAGTACGAAAATAAAAAACCCAGAGATAAAGGATTAAGATATGCGCATTGTAAGAAGTGCAGCGGGAATGCTTAAGGGATTTGTGATTTTATTTCGCAGTTGCAGAAACCGCCATTCAATTCACGAGTTAAAATTTTCCCGTCTTAATGCACTTGGGTGTACTGTTTGCTTTGATATCTGAAATTATAACGAAAAACAAAAACTCATTACAATAATCCGCTGAATTTTTGAACTTAACAGCTTATAGCCAACAACAACGAAACAACACAAACAAGTAAATAAATGGAAAACAATTGCGAATTGCGTAAATACTTTTCACAGTGATTCTTTTCTCTTCATTCAAATAAAAGAATATCACACTCAGCCAACAACAATTGTCGGCACGCTAATTTCCAACTTTATTAAGTACAATTTGGAACTCTGTGCCCGGGGGCGGCACTCATTCAACTTCCACGCGGAAAATACTGCCGAAATACAACTTAAGGTTCAACACCTGCTTTCAATTTGGAATTGTTCCTGAAGTGGTTTGTCAGTGTGGTAAAAGCCTAAAAAGCCTAAAAAGCCTTCTCGAAATATTTATTAGCAAACGAATTTGAATGAGCCGAGTACGATACCAAAACAATTCCGAATGCCGCTGCATTGCTTTCTGTGAGTGTTTTTAGGTGGGCGCCCCAGCCCGTCATGAGTACCGCCAGCTGCATTGTTCGGAAATTCTTCACAAATCTTAATAAACCCACTTATGAGCTTAACGCTGCTAAAAGCAATATCTTCAGAAATGTAACTACAACAAATACTCGCAAGTGGAAAGCATATGAATTCATAAGTGACTTAGAGTTTGATTATGAGCGAGAAGTTTGTACCAATGCTTTTAAAGGATTTTGGATGGCTGTTGCTAGTGTAGAATCACGATTACCTTACATAAAATATTTTCATTTTAATTGTTTCAGTTCAAATGGAATTTAAATCTGTTTCGTGATTATATTTGATTTAGCGTTTACTAGAGTAGGGAAGGTGTAAAAAAAAAGTGTTGAATTTTTTATAACTTATTCCAGTGGCGGTTTTATATGAAAAGAAACCAGTATATATGTGCCTAATAAAACAAATACATACATTTATGTAAAAATATAAAATCATACTTCAAGAGCGGTACTTATAGTTTGGTAGCCGACTATACAGCTAAAGACTGACTTAGTTGTCATAGGTCTAGCGAAAAAATGAAATTTTAACTGCACAACGCAAATCAAAACAGCATAACAACACACACAACACAAGTTTAATCCGATCACCAAATACTTTGCATAGCTGAGATATAAGATTTTTGATTTGATAATAAGATGTCGACGAAATTGAATCTTATACTTCACCTTATATTTACTTTGCAGGAATAATTGAATATTTTGTTATCCTAAACGTAGAACGGGTCAAATGATTTCTTACTGCCCTTTCATCCAATTATTTTATTTCATGTCTCATCGTAGAACCCACCTTGCCGTTCAGAGTTGATTAAAGAAATTACAACAGAGTTATAATTAATTATAACAGGCTTTACTAGTTAGATGTTAGTTATAGCTAATAACACCAAATATGAAATAATCTGTATCTGTCTTAATATCTCAAAGATTTTAAAAACATTAACATACATACATACAGTACTGTAATTTCAATTTGCCCGCATCCTTCCCTAAGAAGTCAAATTTTCTGCGTGATAATAGTATTTTAAACAGTTATTGTATAACATTTCTCTAAATTTTTCACTATTGAATTAACGGTGTTGATAGGTTCTAACCAAAAAAGCGGAGAAAAAACTATAAACGTTATCGGAGAGAGATAAGATCAGAGGACTCTAAAGCCCACATTACATTTATAAGTATAGAGTTATTGTGGAAGAGGGTACAAGATTTGCAGTAGTGACTACAGGGTCCATACGTGTTCGGACGATCCCAATATAGCGAATTTTTTTTATCAAAATTCTTCATAGTTAACATACCTGTATTAGGTATAATACATCAGGTTACATATAACAACTCTGTGTTTATAACGACACTTCTAAAAAACATTTAGTTTTTAATTTGACATATTGATAATATTTTTCTTTTTCTAATTTTTTTTTAACATTATTGAAAAAAAAAATGTACTTCCTTACGTTTTCAGATAATCAATAAATATAGCTATTTTCGTAAATACTTGTTAGAATTTCACGTAATTAAAATTGACGAAATGTCTACAGTATCGTTGGATGATTATAAATTAAGTTGTGAACTTTTCGGACATGGCACGGATGTGCGTGCCGTTGCAGTCGGTGAAACAAGTTGTAATGGAGAAATTATAATCTCTGGTTCTCGCGATAAGACAACTAAGTTATGGAAATGTGAGAATAATGAATTTAATGAAATGATTACATTTGAACACCATGTCAGCTTTGTTAGTTGCGTTTATTATGCAAAGCAGGAGGATTGGATATGCAGTGGCAGTAATGATGGCACGGTTTGCATATATAAAACAGATAGTAATGTTCCCATTTTAATACTAAAAGGACATCAGAGTAATGTTTGTGCTATATCAAGTGGCTTAGAGAGTCGGAGCCTTATAACAGGAAGTTGGGATGGTACAGCAAGAGTGTGGAAAATTAATCGAGAAGGAGTTGCTACATTTCTTAAATTAATTGGACATACAGCAGCTGTATGGGCAGTAGACGCAATGCCCACAGTAAGTCAATATGTAACTGGCTCAGCTGATAAAAAAATTTTTATTTGGAACGATAAGGGTGAAAAAATACGTACACTTTCTGGTCATACTGATTGCATACGTGGACTAGAGGTCTTGCCAAGCAATTTTCTAGTATCTGCTGGTAACGATTCTGTTATACGTTTGTGGGACGAAAGTGGTAAATGCGTTGGAAAGCTAAATGGTCATACTGATTACATTTATTCTATTGCACAAAATACTGGTGTTGGAACAAATATTATTGTGTCTTCAGGCGAAGACAGCTGTTTGCGTATGTGGGATCTAACAGAAGGTATAGAGTTAGGTTTACCTATACTGCACCCTGGCGGATCAGTTTGGTCAGTTGCTTGTTTCAATAATGGCGATATTGTAACTGGTTGTAGTGACGGTGTAGTACGAGTTTTTACTAAAGAGCCTAAACGGTTCGCTAGTGAAGCTAAACTTGAAGCTTACGATAGTGCAATTAACGCCAGGAAACTGCAAATGAATGAAACAATTGGAACTCTCAACATTTCTGAGCTTCCAGGCCCAGAAGCTTTGTTGGTAAGTGGAAAAAAGGATGGTGAGAGTTTACTGGTAAGTTATTCTGATGGTTCAGTTAAGTGTTACAATTGGCAAGCTGATGTATGGAAGCTAGTTGGCGATGTAATAGGCGCTTCTGGTGGAAGTGAGAGTACATTTGGCAAAATACTTTACGAAGGTAAAGAATACGACTATGTTTTTTCTATTAACATTTCAGATTCGCTGCCAGAAATAAAGTTGCCCTATAACCGTGAAGAGAATCCATGGATTGCTGCGCAAGTTTTTTTGAATCTTCATAACTTACCACAGACATATTTGGATCGGGTAGCAAATTTTGTGATTAAAAACTCGAGTGGTAACGTTCCATCAATTGGTGAGAGCAGTTTTCAAAGCTCTTTGTCTGGTAGCACACGTTATTTGCCTGATTCATTACTTGGTAGTATCAACAGTTCTGTTGCATCATTGTCTGATACCAATATTGAGAAGCATTTTCCTATTAACAAATACATAGTATTTCATAAATGTGATGCAGATAAAGTCAAAAAGAAACTAGAAGAATTTAATAGTACGATGCCGAATGAATATAAGGTATCCCAAACAGTTTTGGAGTTGGCTAATTTAATGGCAGAATGTCCAACTGCAGCAGATGAGAATATCGTTATGGCGCTAAATCTTTTGTTGGAATGGCCAAATGACAAGATATTTCCTGTTCTCGATATAATACGTTTGGTGGTTCAAGAAGAGGAGGCTTTTACAATTTTTGAAAACCATCACTTAATGGATAAAATGTTACCACTCTTAAAAACAAATGACGCAAACCAACTAATGATTCTACGTTCTTTGGCTAATATGCTACGTCACAACAATGGACAGGTTCACATCAGGCAACGTTTACATAACTTGCTGCCGCTACTTAAGGACATAAGAGATGGCAGTTCCAATTTGCAAATTGCACTTGCGGTCTTTTACTTGAATTTGTCCATAACCCAGACAAATGACTTAACAACTACTGAATCGTCTAAATTTATTACTGAGGGTCTTTCTGACTTTTTTGAATGGAGTACTGATTTAGAGGCCTGCTATCATGGTATACAAGCACTTGGAAATTTAACAACAACATCAATTCGTGAAAAGATTATTGCTGATGAGTTCCTTACTGAAAGAATTCGTGGCTTTGCAAACTTATCTCAAACTGATGGAAATGCTAAAATAAGTTCGGCAGCTAAAGCACTTTTAGATACTTTCTAATTTTTTTTCTATTTTAAATATGAACAATAAAGAATATAAGTACTTTCTTGTACTGCTGTATTTTTTACTTTTAATGAGAGATTATTAACAATCTGTTATAGTTCTCACTGGGACTTGGCACCAATATTTCATCATGGTGCAGATAATTATGCATAATAGTAGGGTTCTACGAAAAGGTTAGGGAGTTACCTAAACCTCTGTTAGAGAACTATTTCTTGTTTCTTTAAAAGTGTGACTGATTTATAGTACCAACCTATGAGAGAACTATGAGTTTATATGAAGCTTTAAATAGTTTCTGTGTCTACATTCGATTTTCAATTATATCACAATATATTTGACAGAAGCGCTGACTTAGCCTCAAGTTTTCTTCAACTTTTTTCGTAAAGTTTTATTAAAACTCACTTACATGGATGAGTTAAAGAGGATATTATTTAAAATTTTTGTAGATTTTTTTAACTTTTTCACTAGTTCGTTTTTTTCTTGTGGTTAGTGGCATGTTTGTATCTATAACTCGTTGTACTGGTGCAATTCTGTCTTCTATAACTAAGAAATATTGAAAATTCATCACAATTTGTGATGTCGAACTATTATCTATAAGAGATGAAATTGTTCTTTTAAAATAATTTCGCAGATACTCCATTTTATAAAACACTTTCTATAAATATTTCAAAGTATTTAAATATTTTTTAAGTATTTACTAAAAAAATTCAATTAAAATCATTATGCATATATCCTAATAGCACTATTACCATTTACTCCTGTCGTCCTGTTAAAAAGTTTGTTTTCAATGCGAAATTATTTTGTTGTATTTGTACTGCGCTGGCAAAGAAAAGCGAAACCTTATACTCTATGGAGCACCGCAGTGGAACCGCCTGTGGTGAAAATTATGAAACCTAATACTAAACATACTTAGACATTGTACATAAAGCTTACTAAAAGATAGCATTGTGAGAATTTAAAGTACTTCACCTTGAAATACACTTTATTGTTAGGCACTTTTAAATGAAGTCCTTAAAGCAATGAAAACTTTTTCCTTATTTCGAAAAGTTTCCAACTTAATTCCTCACAGTAGCTTAAGTATTGTATGCCCTCAAGTTAATCTGTTAACAACAGTAACAGCAGCAACAACAACAATAATGACAATAGCAGCAATAACTATTGTTATTTGTTGTTAGATGGGCAGGAAGCGTGTATTTCGCAGGAAAAAAGGTCTTCAATTTAACCCATCACCGCATTGCCTTTCAAGCCGATCATTGATATGAAAACATTTGTACGTGCATGTCACGTGAAACTCGTTGATTGTATCCTTTGCGCTTTAACATTTTGACATTTAACTTTGCTTGTCTGTCTGTCTGTCTGTCAGGCCGTGTGTCTGTATGTCCGTTTGTGCGTCTGCTTGTCTTACTTTCAGGCTTTTTTAAGGTTTCATTTGATTTCTTTTGTAATGAATTCAAGACGACGATACCAAAAAATGGGGTACAAATATTTTGTCTTGCAATGGGAAATATATATATATATATATTTGTATTATATATGCATAAAGAAAAGAGAAATGTCTAAATATAATATATTGAAATATACAAAAACTTTAGAGTTGTTGTTTTTGTTTATTTTGATGTAAGGATAATAGATTGTAAAAAGTCTTTGAGGCATTTTGAATGGTAATGGATTAGTTTTACATATTTTTAGTTTCTTATTTTCTAATATTTTTTTCCGCAAATATGTTATTACGATTTCTTTTTGGGCTCTGACTTAAGGTTCAATGTCAACTTCATTAGAAGAAATGCGTAAGTCAGTAATGAAAGGTTAATATTATTTTTGTCTCATGAGCATCAATTTGTCAGGGTTTAGCTTTATGTGTTAGGAAAATATATTTAAATTGCTTAACATAACTTACCTCCTTCATCAGTCATGACTAGAATTGTTGTTTCAGGTCCCAAGCCCTCAGGATTGAAAACCTGTACAGTAACTTTGTACTGCGTGTAAGTTTCCAAATTGTGAATTTCATGACTCTGCAAAATACAAATTTCATATGTAAATAAAAGTTTTATATTGTATAAAAATATATGTAAGATATATATTGTGCAGGAGAGGATTCAGCGATAGCAATTTCAAATTGGCATAGAATAATAATGTGGGTATATAATATAAGTTTTATTTTTTATGAGTATGAAATCTTAGTAATCTAACAAATTTCAAAATATATTCCATGTGAGTATACTGCTTTGATCCATTACTCTACGGTATGTATTACTTAAAATCCCTGCGATATATGACAGTTCGTAGACTGATGTCCTACGCTACAGTCGTATGTTTTGATCAACAATTTCATTGTGAAAATTCAATGTCTAGAAGATTGTTTTATCATTTGATTGTCAGAGATAGCGAAAATACACTTTCGGGATCTCCTTAACTTCATCTAGTAAACCAAAGGGTTTAAGTTGAACTAAACACAGTTCTCGTATTATGGTAAGAAGTTAGGAACGAAGTATTTTAATTAATCTTATTTTATTTAAGTTAAATGACTAAAAAGCACTTAGTTTATATAATAATCTCTTTGGACTATAGAAATGAATTGGTATAATAATCTAAGTTAAGTCAAGGAAAATCAGGGCAAATCTTCTTCTCCTCTTCTTTGTTGGACATTTTCGAAAATTTAATATTTGTGTAATTTGTGTAACTGCAAAGTGAAGTAAACTGCAATTTGAATTTGAAAACGAACTTAAATTATTTGTGGAGCAAATAAAGTCAAAAAAGTTTTGCAGCAAATCAAGTGTCGAAGTATTTGTGCAGGCAAATCAATTGAACTCCTGAAGTTATTCAATTTTCAAAAATAATATTTTCTGCATTTCATCATTTTGTAAAATGATTTTAGTATACATTTTTGGATTAATGCCTTTATACTTCTCTAATGTAATTTTCGTTTAACATTTGTGGAAAGTTTAATTTACATATACATATACTTTATAACATACATATATGGTACTTAAGATAAGTGTTTAATTGAAAACAGTGATAATAATATGGACTAAACATACACTAAATTTCTGAGAAGGTTCATTAGTTGCAAGACGTTGCCTTGAAAGGTATGTTAGATTTCATCACATTTTCCAAATCCACATATGGGCCAACTGGGCTTAGTGAAATCATTATATTAAAATAACATATTCAATTCAACTTAACATATAACAACTCAGTTTTTACACTTTTAGGATTAGATCCTTCTAAAAATATGCTAAAGAGCTTTTATAAGTGTAATTATAATCATAGTATAAAGTAAGTGAGACTATAAGAGAAGAATTACTTAAAATATATTTAATATATTTATTGGAATAGTTTCAGTTCAATTTTAGTTTCTAAATTGTAATTCAAAATCTAACAACCATTGCCTTTATATTTGGTACACTTAACAACTATTTATAAAAATGTATTTATGTTAGTTGAACTATAAATTCACTTTAATTTCAAATAAGTATCTTTACTTTCCGGAGTGAAATGCTCATTAGTATTGCATATCTCATTTATGCAAAATTGCACTTATACATCACTGTTACGATTATTATATGTGATGATGATTCTACGAGTTTACAAGGAATAATCGTTATCTGAGTCATTCGACTTGCCCTTGTGCATTCGACGAGATTTATGTTGTACTGGGAAAAATTAAATTTATCAAAGGTTCACAAACGCGGAAAACCTCAGAAGTAAACCGCACACAAATGTACAAATGTACGCGAGCGGTCATTTATTGAGGTTTACTGGGTCTGGTTTACAGACGTGCATATATTAAATCATTCCACAGTGTGGAGAATGAAATGAAATTCATGTCGGGATTTTAAAACGAATTTGGTGCATTCAAGTTTCGTTGCCACTGACTCAATTGTATGTATTCGGTTGCAATATTCGTTCTTTTGACGATAATAAAGATACTTTAATGAAAAAAAAAATATTATTTCAATATTTTGAAAATACTATGAAATATTCTTTTAAAGTTTTATTACTATTGAATTTATTTTATTTAATTAAAATCATCTTGTAATATGTAGTATTGATAACACTGGATGATAGGGTCATGAGTCATGGCCAATTTTATACAGAGATATTTATTTTTAACTTTTAATTTGGGAAAAGTTTTTATTTTTATTACTTTAAATTTATATATTAGTCCAAATGTATTGTATATGTATTTAAAAATGTATGTAATAACGATATTATTATGGAGTTCCTTAACTCCTTTTATACCACTGACAAGGATAAGATTATAATCGTTGTCTAAAATGAGAAACAAATCTAATTATTTCGAAGAAATGGAATAGATATACTGCCATAAGTCTGACTTAAACCCAAAGATATTGACCCGCTGTGATATCACTAAAAAATTTGAAATCATGTTTAAAGAAATTTAAACATGTAGAGATATGTAGAGGGTAGAGATAATAGTATTTTTGACCGGAAAACCACAATAAACAAGCAATGTCTTTAACGTATTGTTTGCGTATGTTGGTTACACATTAAAGACAGTGAAAACATTTGTCGGAAGAATTTTTTTTGTCCAGGTAATGGCAGAGTAGAAGAGGCAACATATTTCTGTTGCTCTACTGAGTCATAATTTTGGTAGTAACCAGGAAAACCACTTAAAAGCAAGCAATAGCGTTAGTACTTATGTAGTGGATTTTAAGAATTGGGAACCTATATTGTAAAAACGCTTTCTGGATAGGTGGTAAAAAAGCAGATGAGCAATACTCCTCCACTATGTCCACAACATTCATTGTGTGCATGCTATATTATGAAATATATTGCTGATTTAAAATTAGTAATGATGTATGCAGCTGTTTTTTGGTCGCTTATTTTGATCCTATTTATAAGATAGTGTTTTGTTACTGTAATAAATGCATAATACCATGATAGTAGTTCAGATTAGTCAGTTTATTTTAGACGCGCCATAATATACGATTTTGTATGACTTAAGTTAATAGCAAATTTAGTGATTCATTTTAAAATATTCAATTCAAATTTCCA